GGGCTCATCGGGGTGGCACCGGTGTCACCGGCGGGTGAGGCTGGCAGTGCCACCCTTCTGCCTGGACCCTAACGGCTTGTGCCCAGTCCGGGTATGGGGTTGGGTTTTGGGGTGCAGTCCCGCTCAGAGGGGGCCAGCAGGGATCTGTGCCCCGGCACCTGGAGCGGGGTGCCCTTTGCCAGTTGTGGGTGCTGCTGCACGTGGGTGCCATGCGCCGTGGCCGAGCGCTGCTGGCAGCACGCACGCAGGCTGAGCGCCTTCCGATACCCAGCGCTGCCGGGGGCGGATCTTGCTGGCAGGAGGGAGCGGAGCTGAGGATGCCGGGTGGTGATGTCCGTCTGTCTGGCTGCTGCGCCGGCCGAGGGGGACCCTACAGCAACCCAGGTTCTCCGGGAAGCTGGAGGTGGGCATGGCGCCCGCCGCCACACCACCGGGGCAGGGGAGGCTGCGCATTCCTGAATCCCTGGGGAGGCACGCGTGCCAGCCGGCTCTGGGGCTGGCATCTCGGGCGGGAAGAGACTGGCACGCCCGGGGCGGGCAGCGTAGGCCGGGACGTGCCCGTGCCTGTGCCCATGCCCATGCCTGGCCGGGCAGGGAGGGAGAGGCAAGGCCCCGGGGGGGGTCCCGTGCCAGGGGCCGGGCACGCGTCGGGCTTCGCAGGGTGCTGCGGCGTGGGTGGCGGCACGGGGCAGGCACTGGGAGCAGCCCTGGCACTGAGCCCCGAATGGGTGTTGGAGAAAGTGGGGGCTGTGGGGGCACCCTGGGGACGTGCCCAGCACCCTGGGCCCTGAGCGGGCAGGGCAGAGGCGGTGGGGAGGCTCGGCGGGGCTGTGCCACCCTTCTGGGGACCCTGTGCCACCCTGGGGACCCTGTTGCCCCCCTGGGAAAGCCTGCGTTGCCCTGGGGAACCCTATGCCGTCTTGGGGACTCTCTGCCATGCCAGGACCCTGTGCCACCCTAGGGACCCTGTGCCACCCTGGGGACCCTGTTGCCCCCCTGGGAAAGCCTGCGTTGCCCTGGGGAACCCTATGCCGTCTTGGGGACTCTCTGCCATGCCAGGACCCTGTGCCACCCTAGGGACCCTGTGCCACCCTGGGGACCCTGTGCCCAAGACGGCTGGGGGCTGAGGCCAGAGGAGGTGGCTTCGCCTCGATGCTGGGGTGCCGTGGGGAGAGGTGAGGGGGGTGTGGGGTGAGGGGATGCCCGCAGTACGGCGGGCAGTGGCGGGGAGCATCTGCCAGCGGTTTCCAGGCAGGAGGGAGTGTCAGGAAGCACATGTGTCTGGGTGTGCGCCCAGTGGGGATTCTCTGATGTCTGATACGGGGTTGTGCACCAAGAGGGGGGTCATGCCAGGGTCCCAGCATCTGGGTAGCCTGCATGTCGGGGCAGCCTGTGGCTCGCTCCTGCAGCCGGCTGCATTTCATTAGCCTCCGTCACCCTTCCCACGCTTTCTGGAAGCTGGAGCCCCCTCGGTGGGGCCAGCTAGCCGAGGGGTGTGCTGCTGGGGGTGTGTGTGCGTGGGGCCAGGGCCAGGGGCCTTCTGCAGAGCTCCTCTGGGCCAGCGCCCAGGGAGGGGCTCCTCCGGCTGGGCAAGCGGCCAGCTGACTCACACGCCGGCTTGTTATTGTAGGGTCTCTGGGGAGGGAGCGTGTGGGGAGGGGGCTTGGCACAGCGCAGAAATGGCCTCTTGTCTACCTGAAGCCCCTCATGTTTAACCCCTGCACCCCCAGGATACTTTGGAGCAGGAAGATGGGCTCACCCCAAAAGTGCTGGCAGCTGCACAATGCTTCCTCCTCCTGCCTTGGAGATGCTGCCACGGTCCTGGTGTCCCCCCTATGGTGGCCTCCTGGCCCTGGAGCCTGTCCCACCATGCTATTCGCAGCGTCTTCCCCTTGGTCCCCATATTTACCCCCTTGGGACCTGCCCCAACCCTTGGTTCTGCCCCTCTGGCTGCCCCCTGGACACAGTTGGCTCCCGGCCGGTTGCCTTCTGGCCCAGCAGGGGCGAAGCCCCCAGTTACAACCCCCAAATGGACTGGGTATGGTGGGAGGGGGGGAGAGGGGAGACATAGGGGTGTGGGTAGGTGGGCTGGTGGGGTGTGAAGGGTTGTACTGAGGGTGATGGGTGTGGGGTGCCGGGGGGTATCATGGGTGTGATAGGGAAATGGGGGGTGGCACTGGGGTGTACGTGGGGACGCCGGGGAGGTTGTGGGGTGCTGGTGAGTGCCACATCCCTGAGCAGGCAGTGAGCAGGCAGAGCTGAGCCTGCGCGGGCAGGACCTGTGCCTGCACCCCTTGAGGTGGGACCCGTGCCCCACGGTGGCTGGGGGGTGCCTGGCACCCATGGGAGGCTCTGGGGGGGCTGGGGCAGCCGCACACACATCAGCTGGGAAGCACGACGCCGTTCCCATGCCCATGTAAGGCCCTTCTCGCGCCCGGCCCCTCCGCTCAGGGATTTTTCCTTGCTTAGCAAACCTCCCTCCCTCCCTCCGAGGGTAAAGGACAGACAGATGGACACTGGTGTGTATCCGACCCCCCCAGCCTGTCCCCTCCCTCCCTCTTTGCACTGAAACTGCCTGCCCAAAGTAGGGAGGGGTGTAGCTTCCTTTGAAAAGTGGGGAAACTGAGTCATGGTGCCCTTGCCCGGGGGCAGCCAGAGGTGGGGGACATGGTGTGGGCTGCAATGATTTCTGTGGCAGTGGTCAGGCGTGGTATGGGTGAGCTCGTGTGTTGGCACGTGCTGGTCGTGGCACAGCCGGGATCTGGTGGTGACACTGTCCTCCTGGCTGGGATGGAGGAATGAGCCCGAGGATACTCTTGGCAGTGGGGCCATGCAGGCGTGTCCCAAATCATGGAGCAAGGGAGGTGCTGGGGGCGTCCCTATCCCCTGGGATGCTTGCTCTGACTGGAGCTGAATTTTGCCATTGTGCTGCTTGGAGAGGCTGAGAAAAGACAGGGGACGATGCTTCTCCCTGTGTCAGGAGCTGGTTTGGCTGGGGGACGGGAGAGCTGCAGCGTTTGGCTGCCCAATTGGCTGGCAATTGCTGGCGAGTGGTTCTGGGAAGTGGCGGCTGTGCCAGCCCCCAGGGCTGGCGGGGCTCCAGCCTGCCCCACTCGCCCCACACCACACCGGGGCCCACAGGTCCTGGGGGAGTGAGGGTGCTGGGCTGTGCCAAGAGGGGAAACTGAGGCACGGCACATAGCATGGGGCCGAGGTGTCTGGGGGCTGTCTTGTCCCCTGGTGTCTCCCCCCAGGGAGCTGACAGTGGGAGCTGGAGCTGTGCCAGGCTGCTGGGCCGTGCGTGTGAGTATGTGTGCGTCCATGCGTGTGAGCATGCATGTGTGAGTGTGCATGCATGTGCCCAAACGGACTCGTGCTTGCACGATCATGCGTGTGCACGTGTATGCGTGGTCATGTATGCTCGCAGATGCATGCATGTGTGTGTGAGTCTGCAGGGGAATGCATGTGCGTGAACAACATCCAGCCCTGCGCACAACTGTGCTTGCACCCTGGCGGGTGGGCACACGCATGTGCACCCAGCTCAGCGCCATCCATCCCCACGGGCCTCGTGCCAGGCCTGGCTTGTTTTTCGAGTGCCCCCCTGCGATGGGACTCCCTGGGGGGGTTTGTCCATCATTAAACCGGGGGCTGGAGCAGGGCCAGGGCTGGGCAGTGAGGCGCGTCCCGGCCAGAGCAATCACTCCCAGCGCCCGTGGCGCCGACGGGCCCTTGGCAGCGGGGGGACGTGGTGGGATCCGTGCTGGGGCACACTGTGCTGGTGGAGGGGACATGCTTCTCCCACCTTCGGCTGGTGCGGGGGACGCCCTTGCTTGCAAAGGGCCAGGACGGGAAACTGAGGCAGGGAGCGGTTGGACCCTTCTGGGCAGGCTTGACTCGTGGTGACGGGCACCCCGCAGCCATGCCGTGGCTGGGGGCTCTGGGTGGTGCTGGGGTGCACGGCCAGGCTGTGCATCGCGGGCTGCCTGTGGCTGTGCCAGGGATGGTGGCTGCAGGGAGGGGATATCTGTGTCCCAGCTGCAGTGGGCTCGTGCTAGGGGACATGTGGCTGCCCCATCCCCTCCCACTGCCCCAGCCACTCTGCCCTGCTGCCTTCTCCCTGTACAGCAGAGGGGATGACGTGCCACTCACATGGGGAGCTGCCCGTTCCGTGTTCCATGCCTGTCCCTGATGCCCCATTAAAAGCCACCCCCCCAGTGCTTCAGGACAGCTAATTAGCAACACCCTTGGCCTCCACAACGGAGGGGTGGTGGTGGGGGGAATGCCGCAGGAATGTGTCCTTGGCCCTGGCACGGCCCCAGCCAGGGTAGCGGGATGGGGGGCTGTGGGGGTCAGCCCTGTCCCGGTGCCCTGCCAGGTCATGTTTGCACAGCATGTCCTGGAGGGGGTTCTGTTTTTTTTTTTTTCCTCCCTCTTGGGGCCCTTCTCTGCACCCTCCGGGTGCTGCTGGGCGCAGGGAGGGTGAGCAGGGGAGCGGGGATGCTGAGACTGCCCATGCTCGCAGCACTGGTGAGTGCTC